AGAGAGAGAGAGAGTCTTCACCATGACATCCAAAATTATTTTTGACAAAAATAGAATAAAAAAGAAAAGAATATGCAGCTATCTTAATTTAACAATGCTTAATAACATAAAATATCACACCTACAATTACAAGGCAAAAAAAAGAGCAGACATAAACCATAGGAAACGCAAGTGCGGCGTATGTAATTTTGTTTATCCTTCCTATTTTGGCAGTTGCTTTCACTGGACCAGTGCATGTAGTACTCTCTAACTAGTACATCTCTAAATAATTCTTCATTCATTTATACTTTTGCTTTTTCTCTCCCTTGAAAATAGCCAAGAAAGGGTACTAAATAGGACACTGCAGATACACCATAAAAGAACTTTGATTAAGGTTGCCGAAAAAAAAAGAGGCAAAATATGAACATGACATGTTTGTAGCATACAATGCTCATAAAGAATATCATTTTCAAATAAAGATAATTTGAAAGACAAGAAAACAACACAAATGTTGTGGTATATCAAAAATGTAGTGAACGAAAATACTCTTCATAAGGAGGTATATGAAGTTGGACAGCTAACAAAGTAGCTACAAGAGTCTTGGTAGTATAGATACTTACAACGGAATCAAGGATAACTTGAGTGTCAAATATATCTAGGAAAAGCTGCTTTGAGAAAAAAAAAAAAAAGCATCTTACTGGCCACGTAGATAATCACTGCATAGATTCTGGCCTCCATCCATTGATAAAGAAAATACACAAACTAATTATTTTAATGCTTGCCTACTAGAAATGAGGGTCTCAAAATAATCAAGGAGATCTAGCCATTTTGCTAACAGATAAAATGCATCTTTTTACTTCCAAACTATGTTAGGGGCTTTGCTTTGCTTTTTTTTTTCTGTGATTATTCCTAGAAGTAAAATCATTATTTCTTTACAAAACCTAAGATTTACTTCAAGAAATTAATACTAGTTCAAAATCCATTCCCATTTTCATGAACAACAGGCAAATGATAAAGTCAACTATAGATACTATGCAAGTTTCACAAGGAAAGCAAATACTTCTTTTTTTCTTTATTTACTCTTTCGGATTACTTATAACAAGTGTAAAACCAGACCTCTTATACAGTTAATTAATAAAGAACAGAGACAAAATTGTACAAAAAAGAAACAAAAAGGGACTGCCCACTAGACTAAGGTTACAAGATTTGTTTGGGAAGCCCCCTCTTTGCTGAGGCTATCCATGATAGCATTGGCTTCATGCCATACGTGTTGGGAAGACACCTCGAGAGATTTAGTGGGCTCAAAAATATTCAAACACTAGTTTAGTCTCCAGGCGCAAATAGAAATCCTACTAGCCCAATTGATTCCTAGTTTTATTTTGTACATGATACATTTGTATATGTCAGTGAAGTGTATTCCCCCCACGCTGGATGTGGTCCACCATGAGAGCCTTTTTGCTAATCAATAACCAATCTAGAAGCTAGGTTTTGGGCCGGGCTGGGGAGATCCATACCTCGCTGGCAATGGCAGGGGAAGATCACTTGGCCAAAGCTGCTCATAGAAAGTTGTTCCGCCAAAAAGAACCTTGATTTAGCTGGCTCCTACACCATCTTGTCCCTACCATGGTGAGGAAGGAAATTGGATTTAGGGGTTAAAGCAGGATTATCAGGTCTCGGATTTCATCATTGGACAGTTCCATTCTAAACCTCGGATCAAACAACATGCCTAAAGAGAACTTTGTTTGCATCTGAGACTTGGTCAGGTGCCACTGGGAAGATGATAGAAAGCTTAAGACAAAGTAAATACATTTAGTAAGAATATAATGGTTTCCCTCAGCTTACAGATTCAACTCATCTTGGAACAGTAGAAACTATAATATTCATCTTGAAAAGTTTAGGCAGTATGCTATGATACAACTTGTATCCATTCCAAGCACAAAAGAACTCATCAAAAGACAACATACCTGATTGTCTCTGTGAAATGATGGAATATCATATACAAAGGTGAAAGAATTTATTTTGCAGTGAGCTCCAACTGCTGAGACATGGCTCCCTTTCAAGATGTGGGTTCATGAAGTACTGCAATCATCCATAATCCATTAGCTATGGACCCTTCTTTTTAGCAATCTGTTGAAGTGCTTCACCATCAAGTTAAGAGGAATGTCGAGTTTTTATACTATAACCAGGTCAGTAATGGTAGAATGCTTTTTCCATGGGTTGCATTGGTCCACCCTCAAATTGCTCTTGCATGATGAAAGTTCATTAAACAATTGTGTTGTAAAAGTGCTAGAGGGCCCAGTGCTCAAGGGACCTTGCAGGGGCCTTGAGTTCCATACATAATCACTATTAAACTAATGAAGGCTATCTTCAATGGGAGCTCATTTGGTTTTCTAACACATTTAACATGATAAGCAGACAATATTTAACATTACATGTATAGATGTATTTATTGAATACTGTCAATTTACACCCCCTTGCGCATCTAATGTCTAATTTAACTATTGCAGTTGATGATTTGGACTTGAATAATGTGTAGACTTCAGGGGATGTTTCTTACCTTGCAATTGAGAAACATTTATGTGGTCCTGCCACAGGTTGGCAAATTCAGTTTGTCATCCAATAATTAACTAGGGAATGCATGTGAAGATAACTTTGTCAGTATTATTGGCTTCGGTAATTCACTGCATTCTTTTTTTTCATATTAAAATTGTGCTTGCAGACTTTACCTTAAGGTGCTGCCACACTCAGCAACATAATGGACCAGGAGACAATTGCAGCCTTTGCAACATGCTGTCATCATCTTTGCCAATGGAAATCTTACATGAGTAATCCCCTATTCTTTAGTATACAAATACCTTTGATCCTTTACAATCTGGTTCTTGTATCTGTTGTATATATCCTGTGAAAGATACACAGATAGAGAATTAGCATTCTATGAAATCATAGGATCATTGCTCACATAAGCATATGCATGGATATGTAATACGGAAATATCTGAATGTTCATTTAGAGCACTATTAAATTATACATAATTTATTGTGCATAGTTCACAGTTAATGTAAAATGTGCATAGTTCATAGTTCAAGTGAAATGAACCAGAATTTTAAGTCCCTGTAGGAATGAATTGCTTCATTTCATGGCTGGTTTCTCCTTCTTCTTTATATTATTTTTTTTTTAAAAAAGATTCATTTATTTCTTGCATTATTTTGTGAAGATATTTCATTTAGGAACCCCGTTCTTTTCGGCAATTGGCTGGAATATATAAGAAAAAGGATATCTGTTTTGGGAGTCAATCTTCGTCCAGCGCCTAGCTGTGCCCATTTGCTTTCAGAGAAAATTAGTGACCATCAAATAAGAATCATGACCAGTTTTTGGAAGAACCTTCTTCAAAGTGTTACTTTCTTCATTGTTCTGATATAGATGTAGGATTTCTATACAATATGGGGATATCCAAAGAAGGTTTCCATACAACTACATGGTTCACCAGCTGGGCAGTAGATGCAGACCGCCAATTTGATTTCTCAGAAGCAATTGATCAGAGCTTACTTGTCAAAATATGGTAATTTATTACTCTTTCTTCGTGAAAATGAGTTTAAAATTCCAATTTTCTGCATTATATTATCGAAAAACTCTTGGTTGCTACTTGTAGTTTCAGAAAATGACTAGGTGCCCTGCTTTTTTAGGAGGTTTGAAACAGCTAAATATTCTGTAAGAGCATAGTTCTTGATTTGAAAACTATTTGTTACATGGTTTTTGAAATACAGCAGCCACAATTTCCTGTTAGAGAAGGATACCTAATGTTAGCACTGCTACACTCCTAGATTTTCTGTCTTGTTTTACATAATTCAAATAATGGCACTTGACTAGCATGTTAACTGTGGATTCTGAAGAACATCACTGCAAGGGTGTTGCTTCTCTCTGTTTCATGAAGCGGCTATAGTTCTTACTTTAGGCAATGAGATCTTCACAAAACCATTTGTAAGATGCCCAAGATAGGTCTATGCTTTCTTCCAAATAAATTACTTTCCCTCAACAAATATTTCTGTTTCTTGAAAAATATCAAGGTGCTCTTCCATTTGTTTTAAGAAATAAGAAAGCTCCATCATCTATGTTATAAGGATATGGGTACAAGTGTCACCAATATACATGTCAGAAACGCAACTTAGCCCCTTCTAGATACTACACATTCATATATATATTCGACGGGTCGGGAGGTGGGATTTTAAGCGATTAAAGTATCTTAGTTTCTATAGTGTTAGACATGTGTGTCACATTCTTAGTGTCTACATGAGCCCAGAACCTTGGACGCTCATCCAAGTCTTGTAGCCCATCATTTATTTAGAATGTTGGTGTTTACATTATTCTTGATAACGATTTATATATCTTCTCCGGTTCTTTGTTTATTTTGGCAGTGATGATGGCGAACAACAAGGAGTTGAAAGATTGTGACAAATATGAAACCTGTAGAGAGAGAGCAAAGTTAGGGTTCATGCGTAAAGATATCATGGATATTGGGAGGCTTATGTGGACTAAAATATGCCCCTTATTAACATATTGCTCGAGAATCACTTACTTGTTGCAAAGCCTACTAAATACTCTACACATTCGGGCCTTCCCTAAATGTTTATTTAACTTCAGTTGCATTTATAGTTAGTTAACAGTTAAATTTTCATTTGGATGATGAAAGTGCAAAATATATCCATGGAAGGTATTTTTTATTCGAATTATATCCACCTTTTAGCTTCCCATGCAAGGGTGTCCTCTCTCTCTCTCTCTCTCATAAACACACATACACAGATTTGGCTTAGCAAAGTGGTTAGTTATATTTGCTCAGCAATGCGATATCCTAAGTCCTAGTTTCATTTATCTTTTATCTTATATCAAATATCCCAGGTTTCAATATTTGCTTTTCACATTTTTTCCCCCATTATTTCAAATCACATGCTTTCAAAGTATTGTTTTTATATACATTTGGAATACTTTTTTTAAAAAACAAACGTAGACTGTCCAACATTTTAGGAACAGATCTGAAGCGGACACTTGTTACAGTGTGGGTAGCCATGTTTTTCTTATTATTCTTTCATATATAATTTGGAATGGAAGCTGTCAGGGAAATGTTGGAATTCTACTAAGAGCCTACAAAAACAATTTTAAACACCCTCTCCAAAACCCGATGTTAAATTACCAAATCAATAGAAGGATTCAAAAACAAATCTAAAGACCACATCAAATTTCGAAATGATAAATCGACAAAAAAAGCAGAAGTGTCATACTTTAAAAAAAAAAAAAATGTAGAGCAAACAAGATTGTAAACAATGTCCAAGTCTAGCTTCACTACAGTTAATTGCTTACACAAAACAATAAAGCAAGCAAGAATATAAACAATGTATATTTTCTTATCAGTAAGTTATAACACCATCCTAGAGGCCAAAGAAAAAACTAGAATCATAAAACACAAAAAGCATTATTGAAAAACAAGCTCAGGATGGAAAAGAGAACTAAATAACCTAAAGTCTTGCCAAAGCCGCCAAATCTCCAAGTATACATTAATACAAATTGGTGAATATTTGTTACCAACATATATGCTTGTTGACAGCAGCTAGATATAATGATTGACCAACTCATTTGGTTCTATCAAAATATGCATATGAGGATTTTGATGAATTACAGACAAATTAATATCTGGATTGGTTTTGGTCATTCATTTTTATCAAATGATTAATAAGGCCATTGCAAGCGTTTCAAAAGCTCCCCAACCACAACCTAACCTTTCCTCCCACCCAACCTGCAACATTCCCCAACCTTACCATCCACAACCTAGCCTTTTGGTTCGTTACCCTTGCAGTGTCACTGTCCTTTCCTCCTCCACCACTAAAAAGAAAAGAGCATCTTTCTATTCCCACAGACCCATCCGTCCATGCATTTTAGACCTCAACAAATGAATGTCAAATCATGGTAATCCAAGCAAGAAATACCTCGCTCCATGACCAGGCTTGAAATTTCTCAAGCAACCATGCAGTCAAGTCCACTATCACTACCTACCTTCCTCTTTATTCTTGACCACAGCCCCTTCCTCCCATTCCCTAATTCAGAAGACCATTTGTTCCCCACGTAAATTAGAGTTCGTGAGAGAAATATGATTAACATGCTATAAAAAAATATTATGGAATGTGCGTTACCAGGTTTTAATTAACTTGAAATCAATCTGGTCATGTGTATCACAATCAGTATTGAGATTGTCCATAGAAATATTAAGTCACATCATAAAGCAGAAAGAGTGACATAACTGACCTGGAATGGATTAATGGTAGCTTGAAGAATAGTGAGGCTATTTAGGGTCTTCCACTACATAGTTGCACCTCTCCTGAAAGGATTGCTGGTTTGAATATCAAACCGGTACAAGTTTAGTAAAATTCAGCTCTAAACATAAATGAATTTCACAAATAATGCAAGTAATAACTAAATTTGAACATAAAGTACAATCCCTACAAAAAGGCATCTTAGACAAAAATGAGATACAATATCTTCTCCAGTTCAATAATTACCTCTAGAATGAGAATTCAGGTACTCGTGCAGCTTTTAGATGCCAATCCCAAAAAAAATTTCCCCAACTTTGTCAATGTGATTACTACAATAAAAAGTTCGTAGGCCTCAACATCAATGGTTGATTAAGCTAGTTAAGAATTATTATGGAATTATTTTTTTATCAAGGGTAAAAAAGTTATCACAAATTTTGTTTTAATCAGGACTTCTTTTTTTGAAATAGAATTAGGATTCCTTGGAATTTAAGTAGATCTTTTATTATAAATAGTGGTCGTATCAGGGTTTTGCTTTCAGACTTAGATATCATTTTGTTCAAAATCTTGGTTTCACCATAGAGCTAGAAGCTTGGATTGTAAGCTTCCTATTATTTCAATTAATTCGATCTTTGATTTCTCTATTCCTCTTTTTTCTTTCCACCATACCATCTGGTATTGGAGCAGGCCCGTTCCTAAAGAGCATGAGCATTTGCTGCAAGTTTGCTCGATGACGGTTAGAGAGGTCAAGTTCATGGATGTGGTGGTGACAAAGTTATAAGTGAGGGAATAAAATGATCTAATGAGAATTGAGCAAGTGGTGTACGAGGGATGTAAAAAAAGTCAAATCAAAGGAGATTTGAGGATCTGGTGGATGAGGTGAAGCCAACCTGCTCTGAATGATGTTTGGTCGTTCATGACAAAGGCGGATCTGTATCCAATTGCAGTTATAATTCACCTCATAACTAAAGGAGAGGTAACCTCATTGTGTGAAAAGGAAAAATGAAAAGGCATAAATCCAAGCCAGTTGAAATGCATAAAAATCATCTACTTAGTCACAAACAAAAGAAAGAACAATTGGTCATCAACCAGGAAAAATGAAAAGGCAATAAATCCAAGTTAATTTTAAAAACAACTACTATGTGCTAAACCTCTTGAATTTGTGCATTCCTCTGTTGCAAGGCCTTTTGCATTTTGACGAGTGTTACTATTAGGGGAGTTTTGAAAAAAAAAAATACACAATATATTTTTCTTAGATACTAATTAACTTGGAAATGCGTGTGCACCTCTATCCTCATACCATCAATTCAAGACAACTAAATTCGATATGTATAAAATCCAAAGGATAATTCTGATTTAAGTTAAATCTCCCAAAAGATGACCAAAGTAAACTAAAATTTCTAACTTACCGCACTCGACTTTAGTTCCGAACCAGCAAATGTATTGCACTCATCACTTTTTCCTTTCCCTAAAATCTCCCCATTTTACATCCCCGGGGCTCGTCCTTTCAATTTGTCTCTTTCCTCCCTCTCTCTCTCTCTCTTTTTCGCTCTCTTTCTCTCTTATCTCTAAATATAATTAAAGTCCTATGGAAATCGGCTTCAACCTAAGTCTCACCTACTCTCTTCTATATTCTCTCTCTTAGACATTGATTCTATCTCCCCTTTCCTAAACCTCACTCCAAAAGAAGAACCTCTCATCTCACAGGTTTATCTATGCTATTACCAAGATTCTCTCTCTAAAGATAGCATTTTTTTGACAAACTCCTATGAAAATATAGTTATACATAAATTCTCTCCCATTCTACAATTGCCATTACCAAGATACTCTCTCTCTCTCTCTCTACACACGCACAAACCCAACAAAAACAGCGGTAAGATGGGGGTAATTGCAGATGAGCCATTAGTTTTATAAAGTTCGATACTACCACTGTGGTATAGAAAATTTGGAAATCCATCAGTAGTTTCTAAAGAACTAGCAGAACTAAGACCAGTTCTCAATAACTTGTTAAATACATTTTTCGAAAGGTAAATACAGTGGCAGATGAGTTGGCTAACTCGGAATTGGATACATCCAGGAATAAGTCACAGCTATATGGAAGCACAGTTCGTAGTCCTTTTTTCTCCATGAAGAAACATTTTTTATAGTCAAGTATCTTTATTAAAAAAAAAAACCCAGTAATGGCAAAGGCTTGTCGATTATAAAAGGTACAATCTCTGAAAGTTCATAGATATGTTGCCAGTCTAGAAACTTAACAAACACTACTCTGAAATTGATAGATACCACCGTTATGTTTCCAAACGAATCCATTTTGAATGACAATTACATCTGATTGGATAAAAAACAAGGACGAATAAAGGTTCCATCTCCCATCTCAGAAAATAACATATCCTCTTAATATCAATGAGCCCTATATTTGCACAAGTTCCCATGTTGATGCTCCATTTCTCATTGCATGCAAGAAAAGAATTATAAAAAGAGAATATATCCTAAGGTAAATATGCATTACTGAGAAAAGCTTCATGCATCTTCTAGCTTTATGTTTCATCTTCTTCCAAAAGGCTTGACTATTTTCATTTTAGACTCCCTTGTTTAAGATGATAAGCCTTTTAACACATATTGACGATCTGCAGCAAGCCACACGCATGAGCATGCACATAACCCTACATATCCCATGGCAACAAATGTTCATAACTTCACATGGTTTGGTCCAGCAATACCATGGTTAATGCATTATAATATTGTGAAGCATACAAAGTATCCATTCAGTTTAAACACTAAACATTAACTACAGCTCATCTTCATTTAATAAGGAAAACAAGGAGACGAGAACTGACCCCAATCTTCCATCTTCACCGTAAAATTTGATGCATTATTTCATGATCCAAAATTTCAAAATCACTTGAGCTGCTGCACAAAAAGGTGAGGTCCTGCAAGCCCAGTGAGATATGAAAAGCCATTAGTTAATATTAATGAAAAGTTCAAGTTATACTTGTGTCTATTTGAAGCAGTCATTCCAAGAGCATTAACAAGATATTTGGTCATGATTTATAGTTTTGTCTTTTTTTTCCCTTTCTGATCCGTTTTTTAAATGAGTAAAGTGTGTGTTTTCTTCATGTTTGAAGTATCAAAGAACCATGCACAAAAAATAACTGCACCAAATCTACAACATAATGCCCAAAAAGTAGACCAACATTCTGATACTAAAAGTGATCAAATGAAGGCTCCCCCCCCATTAGATGCTTGCATTAGTATTCCACTAATTGCATTTTCAACAGAAAGAAGGCATTTAGCAGTTTCCATTAAAATATAGGAAAAGAACAGAAATCCAATATTCCAAGTAGAAGAAGCACAAAAAAAACTAGATACAAAATATAAAGTATTACAAAAGTTCTATCAGGGCAAAGGTCAAACATGTACATGTAATATGAAGAATATTGTAATTCGTATGGCATGAGTGCATCGGAAGCCCAATAAATCGCTTTTAAAAGCCTTGCTGCTTGGGTTTTTTTATTTCCGCACTCATATTCATATGTGTTTAGGTACTCATATTTTTGCACTCCTGGGAGTGTGGTTCTAATTGAGTGAAAGCAACAATTAGAGTAATAGGTGCCACATTCATGGGTGAAAGATGTTGTGTGAGGAAGGCTCTATGGATAAAAGAGGCCATGTGATATGCGCTACTTGGAAGAAAAAGATCATCATGGAAGGTGTACTCTAATTGGATGAAAAGGCCATTAGAGTAGGGCTTTACTTGGATGAAACAAGCCACTAGAGCTGGTTGGAGCTGATTCTATCTAGGACATAGGGGGCTGCATCACTCTTGAGTCTCGCCTTGGCATGTGAAAAGGCATTGACTTGTAGGATCCAGGGTGGCAAATGTGTATAGTCCTTGTAATACGCTCAGCCGAAGAGGATCCAAGGTGGTGGATGCTGAGCCAGGAGGAAACCAAGACTCTATTGAGCAAAGCGGAACAAGAGGAAACCAAGACCCTATTGTGCAATGAGATGGTGGCTTGTAAAGGCGAGTGCCTAAAAGCCTCTGCATGGCACCATAAGCAGCACGCACGCATGACAATGACATTGGAGGGCAATAATGTCAAGCTTCATGGAAGGCAATTTGATTGGAGTTGTAGCGGACTACATCGCTGAAAATATGATGGGTGCCTTGCCTGACAAATATGAGATTAACTCTACGACCCAAGTTCAACTCCGACTAGAAAAGTACAATTCTTGAAGGGTGAAAGAAATAGACTTGGTTACCGAGAATGTTAATAAAAATGAATGTCCTCGTAAAAGACACATACAATCCCAGACCACATACCAGCCTCTATGGTCCTAAACAGTGTAACCCCATCATGGGAGCACACTTTGTTGGGCATTAGTGGACTTATTGGCTTCGCACCCTTAATTAGCATTTCCTCCAAATATGCTAAAACCTTCACTTGCCCTTCTAGTGCTAGAAAACCCTTTGATCAATCTATTGTAAGTGAAAAACCTTAGTAACACACGCTTTGCTGAGCATATCATCCCATAATGTCCCTGCCTCTCACAACTCCCCATTCTATTATATGTCAATGTCCTTGGATAAAACCCTTTCTCAAACTCATCAAAAAGCTTCCTCGCCGCTCTAAGTTTACCACCTTTATAAAGCCAATATATGAGTGTACTATATATAGCATTATCGGGATGCAGTTCCTCTTTAAGAGCTTCTTCCATAGCTTACAAGCCTGATCAACCTAGCCTTCTTGACATAAAAGATAAAAAAATTTGAAACACAGGGTTGGGCATGGTATAAACTTCTTCTCAAGCATTTCATTAAAAAAGGCTTAAAGCCTTGCTTGGTTGCCCCTCTTTATGGTAAGATTTAATAACTACACCATACGTGACATCATTTGGAAGAACTCAATTGTCCTCCATGTCACTATGAGCTTAACAACCTCCATTAATTTCCCTAAACCGTCAATTATGATTGTGTAAGTTGAACGGTCAGGGACCCAAACTTTGCTTATAATCTCATCCAAAAATCTTTTTTACTCCACAAAATCCACTCATAATTGTAAGTCACAGCTTATAGAGTCATAGTATTTGGAAAAAAAAAAACCCAAGCTTAGCATCTCCTCCAAAACCTAGAAAGATGATTTCAAATCGTTCGTTTAACACAAGGCCTTAATTAGAATATTGCAAGTAAAAACAATTGCAAATATCCCAAATTTCCTGCAATTCCTATACATTACATATAATTAACCAAATCATGACTTTTGGTCTGACTCATTGCATTCAAAAGAGTATTAAAAGATCTGAATCATTGCATTCAAAAGAGTATTAAAAGACCTGACTAGTTTATCCTAAACTCATTCATCCTGAAAAAGGACTGAAGGGCCAACTTGGGCTTGTTTGCAAAGCCATAGTTTGGAATAATATCTATGAATGCTATTTCACTGAAATTCTGGAATCCTTTAGCTCTTTGAGTATAATTTCCATGGAATTCAAATCCCTAGCCATGGCTAATTTCTCTATGATCATATGATAAGTATCAGGATTATGAAAGAAATTGGGGTGATATTTCGCAGCATGGTCAAAGAATTGTAAAGCTAGGTCTACATTTTCTTGTTGATTGATCATGTTTATGAGCCTATTTAGATATTCCTCCAGCCTAAGGGGATCAACAACAAACCGAATTTAGCTGAGCCGAGCCGATATTTGTCATTATTGGCTGAGCCGAGCCGATACGAGCTGAGTCCCACTACATTATTAAAAAATATATTAATATTTTTAACTCTTTTCTTGGCTCTCACGCAGTTTCTCTCTAAAGCCCTCAGTTTTCTCTCCTCCTCTTGGATGCTCTATTATTGATCATAAAAAATTAACCCAGTTCCTGGATGCTCTAATATTGATCATAAAAAATTAGAAATCCCAATTTCCTTAACCTCGAACCTACAAGGCCAAAACTTGAACCCCCAAGCTAGCAAGTCGTCATCTAAAACATGAGTTTTAAAAATATCTCTGATTTTTTAAATCTTTTAAGAATGCTAAGTTTTTTCAAAAAATCTTCAAAAAATCATATATATATAT